CTGGAGAAAAATCACCAGGCCCCAACAACTGCTCTCACGGGGGCCTGAAGTGTGTGTGTGTGTGTGTGTGTGTGTGTGTGTGTGTGTGTGTGTGTTTTGAGTGGGGAGGGCTTTTTAGAAAAATATACAAAATTAGGTACAGAAAGTATTTAGAGTGAAACAAGAGATCACAACCCTATCTATTCCGAATCTTGTTTCTCCTCCATTACCCATGTACTTATAGTGACAAGAGCCACGGGGCACATTCCTATGTGCCCTCAGCTTTGCACCTTCGCAGCACAAAGCCTGGTGAGTGGGCACAGGCGATAGGAGTAGTTCTGGAAGCCATTCCTACACCAGGATGGCTGGGCGCACCTAACTGGCTGTGGAAGGACTGGTGCCACAGTAACATATCCCACAAAAATGTCAATCTTGGGTCTTTCCGACTCACCTTCTCCATAACCAGATCCCCCCAAATGCCCACAGCCATTCCCACACAGCGGGGCGGAGGGAAAGCAGAATGGAAGGTGACAGTGGTCTCTGCCTTTTACAGTTAAAAATACCTTCAATTTGCAAATATTATAGAAGCACATGGCCCGTGGAGGTGTTGCTAGGCCTGTGTAAGTGAGGGGTCCTGAAGCCGAAACCTCTTTGGCTTCAAGGCCAATTGGCTTCTGAAACTCCAATGCTTGATCCCAAGTCTCGGATGGACTCTCCACCTGCCTAGAAATCCTATTCTCATAGCTTAGGTTTGTTTTCCTTCTCTCTAAAATGAACATTTCACCCCTTCTCTTCAAACAACTTGTAGCTTTCTCCCCTCCAGAGATGAGCTTGATTCATTTTTCTTTGAGAAAATAACTTGCCTCATCCTTCCCCCTCCCCAAGTGACCCAAGCCCCGTCTCCCCTACCAGCTGAGGCTGACTTCTCTACCTGCCACTGGAGTCTACCTACCTCACCCCACCTTCCCCCACCAGCCAGGACCCGGTTATTTCCATCATCCTCAAACCCTCTCTAGCAAACCTCATCTACCTGCCACACATCGTTATGCTTGCCATTCACAGCAAAACTTGTCAATGTCCGCTGTCTGTATGCCTTCACTTCCCACTCTTACCTCAACCCACTCACTGGGACTGCACAGCCACTCTCACCCCAGGCCATTTGTGCTAAACCAGATGATTGCTTCTTCTTCAATAGCTGAGCTAGAGCTGACTGCTCCCTCCTTCTACGCTCTCTTTTCTTGGTTTGCTAGATACCCCACTCCCCTGGCTTTTCTGCTATCTCTCTGATCACCTTTGACAATTCTCCCTCCTCAACTTGACCTCAAGTGCTCCTTGCTAAGCCTATTCTCTCTCCACATTCTCTCCCTAGACACTCTGATCTCATCGCCTTAAAAACCAGTGACTCCCCTGTTTCTACCCTCCAGCTCTGACCCCCACACTTGTGTATCCTTGGCTTACCTGTATCCTCCACTTGAGTGTAAGGGGATCTCAACTAACCTGAGAGTAAAGTAAAATGCTTCTTTTCTCTCCCCAAACCTTTTCTGTCCCTCCTCCTTCCCATCTCAATAAAAGGCACCACAACCTCCTGGTACTTAAGCCAAAAACCTAGGCGTTCACGCACTCTCTCCACTGCCACCGCCTCCAGACAAGCCACAATCAGATCCTGCCTCCGTGACTGCTCTGGCAACCCAGATGGTATCTCTGCTTCCATCACACAAAGCGATCTTTTCACACAAAGGTCAGTGAATATAACTTTCCTATTAAAACTCTCGCATTGCACTCAGACGAAAATCCAAACTTCTCGGGAGTCCCCAAGGCCCCGTGTGATGGGCCGGCCGTTCCTTCCATTTTTGCAGCCCCACGCTCTCCCTCCCGGGGACAACGCCCTCTTTCTCCAGCTCCCACCAGCAAGCCCCTTTCCTGCCCCAGAGCCTTTGCACTTGCTGCTTTGTTTGCTTTTTTGCAGGTCTCATGGCCGGCTGAGCTGAGCTCAGATGTCACCTCCTGCTAGCGGCCGCCTCCGAACACCCAGACTGAAAGTAGCACTTTCCTCATCTCAGGTCATTGCCACATCCGGGTGTCCCCCGCCCGCCCCCAGCCTCATAACAACTGAATTTATATTATTTTCTGCTTTCTTAGCTCTTTTCTGTCTCCCCTGCCCACGGTCATGCACTAAGTCTCAGGGGAGACCAGATCCAATGCGCCCTCCAAGTCTCACTGCAGCCCCGCAGGAGGCACAGGCTGTGCGCACAGACACACAGACGCTCGGATTGTGTACAATGTCCTTCTGGGGCCGCTGTCCCACCTGAGAACCGAGAAGAGAGCATTCCCACTCGCTGACACCATCCAGAGACAAGAAAAACCCAGAGGAGTCAGACGTGGGAGGGAGACAGGAGACAGAACCCAGCGGCAGAGACCAGGCCCAGGGCGGCTCCAGAGGGAGGACCGAGGCAGACCCGGCCGGGACCCCGCTCAGCACCCGCGCGGGCAGCCGCCGGAGCAGATCCCGGAGGAGGCCGCGGAGGGGGCCGAACCCGCCGGAAACTGCCACCTGCGCGGCCGGTGCGGGCACCAGCCGCCCCCTCCCCTCCTCGCACCCCCTCCCCCAGCTTCAGAGCGGCCGGCAGCTGGCGGGGCGCGGGCCCCCCGCCGCGGCGGCGCGTGCGGGATCAAAGCGGCCGGGAGGGGCGGGCGGAGGGGCAGGAACCGGAGGTGTGAGCGCGCTTCCCGGGGAGGCCAGGAGCGTGGGAGCGCGGAGTGCGGACCGGGGCAGAGACCCCGAGAGGCAGGCGCGGAGAGAGACGGGAAAGATGGAGAGACCCGGAGTCAAAACCGCAGAGACAACTAGCGACCCGGAGAGATGGGCGCGAAAGTCGCTAAGAGGCCCGGGAAGAACGTGACAGAGACGGAGGCAGAGACGCCAAGAGGTGCGCAGCGCAGGGAGAGACTGCCAGACACCAAGGGCCGAGACCCTGGGACTTGGGAAAAGAAAGGGCGCTTCGGAGAGAACGGGAGGTAAGACAGGGAGAGCGAACGTGGGGAGTGCCGGAAAGAAGAGCAGGGGAACGAGATAGAGCGTACGGGGCGGGGAGACCTCGCCCCTCCCCCGCGGAGCGCCCAGGGGACCCCCGGGGCAGGGATCCGGGCGCGGCGCCCTTTCTCAGGGTCCCGCCCGCGGGGGCGCGGGGGCTGGGGGCGCAGGGAGTGGTGGGCCAGGCAGCAGGACCCCCTGCTTGGGAGGATGGACTTGTGAGAAGTTATGGAATCAAGATCTCCATCCAGAGCCTCAAGCCCTTCGGTAGAGTAAAAAAGTAATATATGAATATTTGGCGGAAATAATAAAAGATGCTTCTCAGAGAAATAACAGACTTCTTTCAGGTGTATGGTTTTTTATGGGGCGGGGAAAAATAGAGGTGTTGCATTGGCCGGGAATCGAACCCGGGCCTCCCGCGTGGCAGGCGAGAATTCTACCACTGAACCACCAATGCGCGCTCTGGTTGGCTTGCGCCAGAGCCTATAAGAGGTTCAAATAGCGGTGATCAGGCGGATTGTGCCTGCAAGGGACCCGGGGAAAGAGTGGCTCTGAATAGTTCGTGTGGGTGGAGCAACCCAGCCATCCTTCCTCTCTCCCGGATACAACCACTGGGCCATAAAGTCGCCCCATATGGCCAGGGGCGGCCCCACACCCGGGTGCGAACAGCCAGGGGCCCCCAAACCTCGCGTGCAGGTGAGAAAAACTCAGCCTGAGCTCAGGTTCCCAAGGAGGGGGGCCGCGGGGGCTACTGGGGCCACACATCTGCCTTCCCATTTGGCCCAGGTAGGGGGAGGTGGGATTGCTGGGGGCCCTAAACCCAAATGGGAGCGCCCTCCCCAAGGTCTGTGTCCCCTGCTTTGGCAGGGTAGGCTCCGTGAAAAATATCAGGTTGTGAAGGGGCCCTGGAGGGCTAGGCGGATTCCCATCCGTTTCCTACTCCGCAACTATCTTCCGACTTGGTCTCCAACCTCGGCCTGACGTCTCCTTGTCTCTAGCACTCTTGCTGTCCTGTTAAACCTCTGAGTTTACCTTATGGGTCATTTTGCCCTGAAGTAGCATCATTCTGCAGAGGGTCATGCTCTTGGTTTGGGGTGGGTGTAGATCCCTTTTTTGTATCCCTTTCTTGTCCCTTTAAGAAAACTGCCTGCTCCCCTATAGTTAGTTACCAGGAGGTTCCTGGGAGCCAGCTCACTTGTGTCAGGTGTTCTGGCAGCCACACGCCCGAATCGCCCCCATTTTTGAATCAAATACATTTATTACGGAAATATCTCTCCACCTCCTGCCCGTGCTTTGCTACCTTTTCTTTGAGGTTCCCCTCGCCCCGGTCCAGACATCCTCAGGATGATCTTCTTCCCGATTACCTACTTTACTTAGATTCTATATTAGCTACTTGATAACACGCCGTGGTTTTCTCCCCCCGCGAGGTCCCGCAGGGACGAGCTGGACCTCTGGTACAATCCTCAGCACAGCTGGCCCAGGCCTGGCCCAGTGCGCACAGCGCGGGTCACCGTGGCCCCTCGGACTCTGGGCCACCCGGTCCGCTCCCCTGCTGGGGAACTAATATGACTGCCTTCGGCCTAACAGCTTCTCTCCCCGCTCCAGGCAGAACCCCAGTTGAATTAGACAGATCCACCTCTCACACTTTAAGTCTCTTCCTATTTTAAATACGTAGGTTACTTTTGGGTGGAGATGTATAAGATCCAGGCTAGGGGCCGAGGGTGCTAACTGCTTTTTCACTGTTGGTGCGGGTACAGTGACCGCCGAAACAAGCTGCGATTCGATTCTGGTGGCAAATTCTTTCTTTTTTTTTTTTTCTGGTGGCAAATTCTGACCCCAAATCACCTGAACTCTCTCCCCCCTAATAACCTCCTCCCTTCAGCCGGGACCCGCCTTCTTATACAGCCTTATGGCCCCTAAAACAGCTGGTGCTCCATTGACCCCTCATTTCCCACACTCCGAGGCCCGTTCCTCTCCGCCCCTCCCCGGGCGCCCCGCCCCTTTCCGGGAGCCTCGTGCCGGGGGCCGCGCCGGGAGGGGCCCGGGTCCTCCCTGTCCCCCCGACCCCCCCGGACCCTGAGGGATATAAGGCGCAACGCGAGCGGGGACTCGTCCACACCAGGGTCCGGAGGAGCGATGGTCACCCGGGATCGAGCGGAGAACAGGGACGGCGCCAAGGTGAGCGGCGGGAGGAGGGAGCGGAGACCCGGGTCCGGCCGGTCCGCGCTGAGAGCCGGGCCGGGAGGGAGGCTGCGGACGCGGGCTGGACCGGAGGTGTGCGGAGACCCGGAGCCCGGAGCTGGGGAGGAGGCTGCAAAGCCTGAAGAGGGGCAGGGGCAGGGCAGGACCCGCGGGTGTGTGTGTGGGGGAGGGTGGGGGGGGGCGGCAGGAGCAGAAGCCTGGGGTTTGGGTAGCGGGGGTGGCAGCTGGCGGCCTCGGGGACGTGGGAGGGGCTGGTGTTGGAGGGAAACAGCGGAGAGGAGCGCGGGGCGCAGGGAGCGGGGCGGGAATAAAGGGGAGACACGCACTGGCCCCGGGGCACCGGCTCCGGAGGCCGGAGCCCGGGCGGAGGACGTGAGCGCCGGCCCAGAGCGGGGACCGCGCCGCGGGTCGGAGGGAGCCGAGGAGGCGCGGCCCGCTGGGTGTCCCCCTTTCTACACTCAGGGCCGCCGCTCTGAGTCCGGCACCGTGTGGCCGCGTGTCTGGGCGCAGAGAGGTCTCTCCACTGAGGCAGAGAGAGACGGCGCGGTGCGGAGGAGTAGAGAGAACAGAGGAGGAGAGACACAGGGAGGGGAGGAGGGGGGACAAGACGGGGGAGCGGAGAGGCACCCCATGGCCCGGCCCCGGCTCTCAGGGGTCTCTGGGGGAGGGGGAGGCCGGGCTGCCCCAGCGGCGGGACCCCCGCGCCGCGCGGCCGCGCTGAGTCCTGGTCCGGTCCTCCCGCTCTCCCTTCCCGCCGCCCCAGATGCTGAAGCCGCTGGTGGAGAAGCGGCGCCGGGATCGCATCAACCGCAGCCTGGAGGAGCTGAGGCTGCTGCTGCTGGAACAGACCCGGGACCAGGTCAGTGCTCCCGGACCCCCCGCGCCCCGTCCTCGCGCCCCAGGGCTTCCCGCTGGGGTGGGGACACATGCTGGCTGCACTGGCGACCCCGGTCCCGAGGCCTCCTTACCTGAGTCCCGCCCTTGGAATCCCACCCCAGACCCCTTCTCGCTCCCAGAACGCGACCTTCGTGGCCACCTCTCGGGTCTGTAAGTTTCACACCTCGCTCTGCCCTTTTCCCTCCAGGGCGGGTCTGCTTCCACCTCCGGGTCTGCAAACTCCCGCTCTTCCTCCTTTTCCCTCCCCTCCCCACAGCCGGCAGGGGGCGATGCCGCTCACTGGGCTGGCGGCTTTCAGTGCCCCCTCCGCGCGGTGCGGGGTCGGTGTCACGCCCTCGGGCTGGACGGTTCCATCTCCGGGCGGGTGAGGACCGCGCTCGGTCACCTCCACTCCGCATCCGGGAGCGCACACGCGCCCCGGGGGCAGCCCCAGCCCCCGACCCCCTCCTCTCTTCCCCCTGCCACTTTCCCCTCTCTCCCCGCCCCCCTGTCTGCGCCCTCCCCTCCCGTCTGTAGAACCTCCGGAACCCGAAGCTGGAGAAGGCGGAGATTCTGGAGTTCGCCGTGGGCTACTTGAGGGAGCGCAGCCGGGTGGAGCCCCCGGGTACAGCGCGGGGTGGGCAGCGGCGGGAGGGGGGTCCCCGGGGCCCGGGCCGGGGCCGGCGGGGCGGGCTCTGCCGCGGACGGTGGGCTTGGGGGCGGCAGGCTCTGCTCCGAGGCGAGGTTAATAACGCCCGCGGTGTCTGTCTCTGTGTCTCCCTCGCTTTCTCTCTGTCCGTGCGTTTGGTTTCCTGTCCCTGCGCGCCTGTCCGGCCTCGGTCCCTCCGCGCCCCGCCCCTGTCCCCCGCCGGGCCCCTGCCCTGACCGCCCGTCCTCCCGTCGGCCGCGCCCGCCCCGCGGCTCCAGGGGTCCCCCGGTTCCCAGCCCAGGACGCCGAGGCGCTTGCCAGCTGCTACCTGTCCGGCTTCCGAGAGTGCCTGCTCCGCCTGGCGGCCTTCGCCAACGACGCCAGCCCGGCCGCCCGCGCCCAGCTCTTCTCCGCGCTGCACGGCTACCTGCGCCCCAAGCCGCCCCGCCCGGAACCCCGAGATCCGAGGCCCCACGCCCCGCGCCCGCCGCTGGACCCCGCCGCCCCGGCGCCCGGCCCCGCGCTGCACCCGCTCCCCCCCGTGCACCCGGGCTCCCCCAGCCCCGGGTGCGCCTGGTCCCCGTCCCCCTGCTCCCCCCACGCCGGGGACCCCGGCGAGCCGGCACCCCTCACCGGACTGCTGCCGCCGCGTCCGCCTCCTCACAGACAAGACGGGGCGCCCAAGGCCCCGCCGCCCCCGCCGCCCGCTTTCTGGAGACCTTGGCCCTAAGCTTTGGGGGGCGGGGGCGGGGCTGGGGGGAGGGTAGAGACTCCAGCCTGAGGGCAGCAGAGGGATCCGGGCGTCGGGGCGAGGAGGTGTTGGGGAGGGCGGCGGGGCGCGCGGGCGCAGCGCGCGGGTGAGATGTGGTCTATATTAGAGTATCTATATAAATATATATTTTCCTGGTTCCTGTCCCTTTCCCCGGCTCCCCCCTTGCGTCTAGGATTGTACCCTCTCTGTCCCAGCCCAGCCCCAACCCCTTCTCGAGTCCCTAGTGCATGGAATAAAGTGGTTATTAAATCCCCGTGTGTCCCAAAGCCAGGGGCCTGCCTTTATCTCGGCGTCCACGCCTACTTTCCCTTCCCTTCTGTCTCCCGTCCCCCCAGTCCTGCTCTCCGAGGCCCAAGCCCCAGGGCAGACAGGTAAGTAAAGAAGAGAGCAGAGCAGAGACCGACAGTGGAGCTGAAAGGAGGAAAAGAGAGTTAGGATAGAGGGAGAAGGGACGGGAACCTTTAGCGGGGGTAAAAAAGAAAAAAAAAGAAAAAAAAAAAACCAGAAAGAAAAAAGAAAAAAACCAGAAAAGGGGAAAAAAAATAAAGTTGGACTAAAATCGACTCTGGTGGGATTCGAACCCACAACCTTTGAATCGCTCTTTCGTCACTAGAAGTCCAATGCGCTATCCATTGCGCCACAGAGCCCGCTAACCGGCGGCGGCGTCTGACGGCATACGGATGCTGGATGGGGGAGGGGGAGACGGAGGGGCATACCAAGAGCTCGCGGGTAGGACCGCAGAGGCCCACCTGGGAGAGGTAGCGGGCGCAAAGCAGGTGAGCCAGGTGGGAGCGCGGGAGCACGTGGGTGGAAGAAACAGGGAGAGAGAGCAACAGACTATGAGTGAGGGGACGAGCACAGAGCTCCGGCTGCCTGCTTGGGGGATGCTTCCAGCCCAGGCGCACCCCACTCCCAGATGTGGCCCCACCCATCAAAATAAACTTATTTCGTTGTAAATTTCGGCGTGTCTTTGTTTCATTTGGCCTGTCTGCCGCTCTGCAGTTCTGAATCTAGATGGTTTCCAAAGAAGACCAGCCAATTTAATATAACCATTTCTAGCTTACTTTTCTATAGTCTCTTAGGAGGACTGTGGGATTACAGTTACTTCACGCAGGTAGCGTGGCCGAGCGGTCTAAGGCGCTGGATTTAGGCTCCAGTCTCTCCGGAGGCGTGGGTTCGAATCCCACCGCTGCCAAATTAAGACTTTTTCCTCCTGGTTCATACATCCTGAAACAATTCATGCCCTTGTGGGATCTCCCTCAATTTTATGAGGACTCCTGATAGAGAGGCTCACCACTGTCATCCCTCTCTGGTATTCCAGACATACCCTACCTAAATCTGCATCCCAGCCCCAAACCAAGACCTGATGGAAACTGCCAAAGTAACCTTCTTTTCTTAGTAACTTACTGATCTGCCCATTAACATGTTCTCAAATAACATGCTTACCTCTCAAACTTAGCGCAACACGTGTTCATATACATATACGATTGACTGTTTTCCTCAGAGTGTGCTAGGTTTCAATTGCCCAGTGTGAAAGCCCAAAGAACAAAACTGTAGTTTTTCTTCTTAAATCCTTTTCATAAAAGAGCCTCATATATAAAACAATACATAATAGAACATAATTGACAACTGTGAAAAACAAAGTTTAAGGTTCCACCGAGATTTGAACTCGGATCGCTGGATTCAGAGTCCAGAGTGCTAACCATTACACCATGGAACCAACTGGCGCAAAGGCCTTCTGAATATTTATACAATTGTAAACTCTGTTCAATTTATTGCTCTGTACTCGTCAGAGAAGACAAAATAACATAAAAACAATTGTTGGATAAAGTAGACGCCGTTATCAAGCATCTGAAATATGAATTGAGATGTACTGTAAGTGTAATATAGAAATCGTCCATAGAAGCCTTAGTACAGAAAAGTTATAATTTTATTAACATTAAAATATTGATTACATGTCTAAAATGCTCGGATTTTGGATATTTGGGGATAAATAAAATTTGCTATTAAAATTAATTTCAACTGTTGCTTTTTACTCTTTTAAAGAAAATAACAGATTTTATTTCATAGAGCAGTTTTAGGTTTACAGAAAAATTGAACAGAAAGTACAGAGAGCTACCATGTACTCCTGTTACCACCAGTTTCTTTTTCCATTATTATTATTATTTTACTTTTAATTTTATTAAAGTATAATTGATATACAAAAAACTGCACACACTTAATGTATATACATCTTGATTAAACTTTTTACTCTTTTTAATGTGGCTACCAGAAAGTTTAAGATAGCATATATAACTCCTATATGTTCTACTCTAAAGCATCTCTATTTTCCTTCCCATTACTCGTTCTATCTTCTGAAAACTAAAAACTGGCGTACTTAATACCAATTCCTTTTAAAACTAATTAAAGTATTTTTGTTATTCTTTTCCTTCGTTTTGTTTGAAGGAATACAAATATTACTATTTAAAAGTGAATATTACTATTTAAGTAGAAAAAATTGAGACGCCCGAACAGGGACTTGAACCCTGGACCCTCAGATTAAAAGTCTGATGCTCTACCGACTGAGCTATCCGGGCTCTGCAGAGTCTAGTGCTCTGATATCCTTAAGAGCAATAGACTTGTAAAATTCCACGCTTGTAAAACCGGCGGGAAATTGTATGCAAGTGCTCAGAGGATTCCGGAGCAGACCCTAAGGAAGCTGGAGCGATGGGCAACTGCTGATCGCGCTTCTGACCGGCCTCCCTCGAGTAGTTTCCGCCGTTTGGTTAGCGAGGGCTGGAGCCGCGGCGGCTGGGCTAGCGCGGTGCCGGGACTTGCCGCGCGGGGCCGCTGCCGGCTGCGGGCTTTCCTCGCGGGGAGGTTTCCCCGGGGTGTGAACGACCTAAATCTTAGGCACTCGGGCACCCCCGCTCCCGCCCACCGGCCCGAAGGTCGAGGGCGGGCCCGAATGCCACATGGGACCTTCAGAATCTGGGCGCCGGGAGTCCACTTCGGTACCCTGACGAGCTCCATTCCAGGGAGAGATTGAGATCTGGCGTGCCAAAGACAGGGGTGACCGAGGGCCGGGCGTGGGGCGGCGCTGCGGAGTGCGGGCTGACGGGGGAGCTGCCTCTGACCCGCGTGCAGTGTGCAGGAATGCGCGTGAGGCTCACCTGCGTGCGGCTGCGGTCACGTGTGATCTACGGCGGAGTGTGTCTCACTCCGGTACCGTGATTCACGTGGATGATTCACAACTAGGAATGTGGGTGCTTCGTTCCCGGTTGTGGCTGAGAGATGAGGAAAAGGTCTTGGGGAGGGGGAATGTGGGAGAGGCCGGGCGGACAGGAGCCCCCAGAGCATCTGGAGGGCCCCTGACCAGGAGGAGGGCAATGTCCCAATCAGACAGGCGTCACCTACTCGCTGCCTCTTTCCGGGCATCTGGTCCCTCCCTTCCCAATGAGGCTGGGGCTCCTGATATCCATCTGGGTGAGCCCTATCCTGCCAGCCAGAGAGACCGGCTGCGCCAGAGGCCAGCAAACAACTATTAGCAGACAGGTGTGGGCGGGGAGAGGGAGCCGGCATCGAGCAGAGGCCCCGGCAGAGGTCGGGAGCTTCAGGACAGAGAAAACATCTCAGAGGGAGTTGGGCCTTTCCCCCAAGGCCTTTCCCCCCGCCCCCCAGACCTCCCGCCAGCGGCTCAGCACCATAGCAGTCCCGTCCTGCTCCGCCTGCTGCTCGCTCGCCTCCAGGCCGGCTGCTGCTGGGGCTCACCTTGCCGGGGGGCATCCCTCCTTCCCGCCCATCATGGCCGTGTACCGCGTGTGTGTGACCACTGGTGCCTACCTGGGGGCAGGCACCCTGGACAGCATCTCCGTCATTCTGGTGGGCACGTGCGGTGAGAGCCCCAAGCAGCCGCTGGATCACATGGGCAGGGACTTTACCCCCGGATCGGTGAGTACAGAGGAGAGAGAGAGGAGCACCCCCGGGGGGCAGGGCCAGCAGGGGACCCTGAAGGAGGGGACCGTCCCCTTCGGGCTCATCACATCCTGCAGAACTCTGGCTGCTGGCTCTGAGCTCCTCCCCATCCCTGCTCTGTCTGGCTCCTGTCTTTCCCTGGGAGAATAGACCCAGGCAGGACTGCGAAGGGGTCCTGGGCAGGGGCGTCAGCATTCCAATGGCTTTCCAGCTTCTCCTCTCACAACTGAGGGTGGGCTTTGGGCGAGTCTCTTGAACTCCCAGAGTCTGGGTTTCTTCTCTGGAGGGCACCCACCTTCTCTACCAGGCCCCAGGATTGCTGGGGGGTGGGTCTGAGTGGGAAGCTGGCCACCAAGGAGGCCAGCGAAGAGCAGAAGCTGCCCTGCCTGTGGCAGCGGTGGTGGCTTCCGCCCGGTGAAGGGCTGCTTTTTTCTAATCCATACAAGGCCGTCTCATGGTTAGCAGCAGCTCAGGTTTGGATGCCAGGACAGGTGCGGGTGTAGAGGCACCTTGCAAGGTGCAAGGACAGCCCTGGCAGGTCCTCGCCTCTCACCTGCCTCCTCTCTTGGCCCCCTCAGGTGCAGAAGTACAAAGTGCGCTGCCCAGCAGAGCTGGGGGAGCTCTTGCTGCTGCGCCTGCACAAGGAGCGCTATGCTTTTTTCCGCAAGGACTCCTGGTACTGCAGCCACGTCTGTGTCACCGCCCCCGACGGCACCCTCGTCCCCTTCCCCTGCTACCAGTGGATCGAGGGCTTCTGCACCCTAGAGCTGCGACCAGGCACAGGTGGCCGGAGGCGGGGGCTGGCCTCGGGCTGCAGAGCGCAGCTTTGGGGATTAGGGGTGGGGTCTCCCGGAGCCCACGGTGTAGGGCACAGGGTTGGGGTTATGTAACCAGTTCAGGGCTCCCAAGTGGATGCTTTCTGAGAAAAAGTGAGCCTCTACAGCCCTGCAGTGCAGGGGCTTCTCCGACAGGATCTGCCCCTCTGGAGACAGACAGAGGCTAGACCCACACTGTGTGCACTCACACCACCAGACACGGGCACAGACCAGACACAGACACAGACACAGACCAGACACACACAGATGGCAATTCCTCTGGAACCCCAAAAGGAGCTAACCCTCAAGCTGAGTAGTTGGACTGCAATGGGAGGAGAAGCTCCGAGCGCTGAGCTGACAAGGCCCTGTCCACTACTAGTGGCTTCTCCAGTGTGGCTGATGTCCCTGTGGGTTGCTGTTAGGATTTCTTCTAGAATTTGGGTGACCTTTCAAGAATGCTGGGCTCTAACTCCGTCAGCCTCTGACCCCCCCCCCCCCCCCCCCCCCCCCCCCATCTCCTGAGATGTCTGACCTAGAAAAGCACCACTAGGGCTAGTCCAAAGTGTGAGTGAGTCTTAGGGATGAGAGATGCTGTCCTAGGTCAAGGTCAAATAAGTGAACTTGACCCCTCAGCCCATAGTGAATTCTTCATAGACGTCACTTCGAACCCCATTATCATCATAGCGATCTACCCAT